CCCCCTGCCTCCCCAGCGGCCCTGCCGCTGGCGGGGCCGGTCCCCGTGGGGGTCCCACGTCATCCCTCCGCTGTCCCCCGCCGTCCCGAGCACTCTGCCGGGGTTTCCATCACCTCTCCAGCAGGCAGCGGTGGGCGCTCGCGGGGAGGCTGAAGCCGCGTGTGACTATATTGCATTCAGAGACCAACGTGCCCGGGAATGCTTTGATTCCCCGCTAACAGACGTCTCGTGAAGAGCGATAAATTTAGAGACCTTTTTGATATGTATTAGCTGCTCCCTACTCCTAGCTCCTTTAGTGTGGAAATTAATTGATATGGTTTGTAAATCTTCCTTTTCACTACCCATAAAAATTGAGTAACTTGTCTTCTGAGAAAAGTGACATATATTTAAATTTTTATTATTGTGCTGTATCCCTCGGTGAAGCAGAGTGAAATGGCAGAGACTCCAGCCTGTTCCTCGGTGTAGCTCCTGTTACATATGTGCCCATTCTGTGGTCCGAGTAATTTTAAAATCAATTGAACGGTATTTTGACGTGTGCATCTGCTATATGATACGCAGTCCTAGAAAAGCAGTGCTTGCAAATAGTTTCTTGAAGCGATTATACCAAAGCTTTGGTCTCTTTGGCAGACAGAAGGTGCTCCGTACGTCTTGAGATGGAGAAGGGGTGAGGTATGTCATGGCTTGTGCTCGTTATGGCATTCCTAATCCTGTTAGCAACAGCTGCTGTTTGCAGTGTGTGGCTGCGCCGGAGCTCCCCAGGGACCCGTGGTGGCTGTGCACAGTGCTGGGGTGTTGGGTTGGGGTCTCCCCGCAGAGCTGGGGGGATGTGCAGAGCTGTGCACGAGCACGGATCCCCGTGGTCCCCACTCCCGAGAGGTTTGAGCCTCCTCTGGCACTCTTATCACTGTGCTGGAGCTCTTCAGGCACATATGCATGAGAGTCATAGAGTCATGGGATGGTTTAGGTTGGAAGGGACCTTGAAGATCACCCAGTTCCCCCCCTGCCCCGGGCAGGGCCACCTCCCCCCAGCCCAGGTTGCTCCAAGCCCCGTCCAACCTGGCCTTGAACACCTCCAGGGATGGGGCAGCCACAGCTTCTCGGGGCAACCTGCCCCAGGGGATCACCACCCGCACAGCAAAGAATTTCTTCCTCAGATCTCATCTAAATCTCCCCTCTTCCAGTTTAAAACCATTACCCCAATCAGTGCTTGATTACGATTATATATTGCTCACGGAGTTTTTATCATGATTGAGTTGAAGCATCACCACTGTTTGTTGTCTAACTGTGCCCAGAATCTTGCAGGCTTTAAGGCAGAAGTCCCAGTGCTGTGGGACGGGGCCGTGGTCGCGGTTTGTAGACTTTCCTTCCCGGAGGAGCACACTGCGGGCTGGAGCTGGGGCGGCCGCGTGGCACCGGCCGTATGTGCCGGAGCCGTTGCTGTCACTGCTCTGCTCCCACGGCCGGAGTTGGGAAGAGCGAGTGGGAGGGAGCTGCCCGTGCCTGCCCCGGCACCGCTTCTCCTACAGAGAGATGTGCCTCGTCCTCCCGGTGGGATGGGCCAGGGGACGAGGGAGAACCTGCTCAAACCCCCAAAGAGGTGTTTTATGAGTAGTGGAATGACAAGACAATGAAAAAAAGAAAACCAAATAGAAAAAAAAGTGTGTCTTTTTTAGTATTTCTTACTGTAAAAACTATTTTTTTCTCGTTGTTAGATCTGTACCTCATAGCTGCGGCCTTTTGCCTTTCCTCACTGTCCGTTATGGCCTCTCTGTTCCCAAAACGTACAGAGTTTGTAGCCAGTGGAAACACTTCAGTGCTCAGCGTTGTGGGATGGGGACAGCTGAGCGCATCCTTACAACTGCGTCCAGTGGCAGTGCAGCGAGAGGCTCTGGGGGGTTCCTGCAGAGGTTGATCCTGAGCATCGCGGTGTCTCCGGGCTGCGCGGAGAGGGGCCAGCCGGCCCTGAGCCCCTCGGGGGTGGCTGCTGCTCCGGAGGGTGGCCGTGTCCCCGGAGAGATGCACATGGCCCATGGCAAAAGCGTTTTGTTCAGGGAGAGCAGGAAAAAAAAAGCTCAGTGTAGTAAAAGCCTCACTGTGAAGTATGTGAATGTGTCCCATTAAAACCCAACATGATGCTCAGGGAGGTGATGTGGTCCTCAGCACACGCGTATGTGTGTAAATAAAGGAGTGAGGGAGGAGGTGAAGAGACACGGAGCCACAGGCAGTGGTTCGGGTTTTCTTTGCAAGGTTTGGGTTGTTGGGAATGTATTTATTGCACATTAAAAAGAAATCCTTTCCCCTCACAGATAACGGCAAAGAACCGAGTAGATCCTCCTGCGCCCCGACCCTGATTTTACACACGGAGAGGAAGAGTTCCCCCGTGGAGAGCGATGGCGATAAGGTCTGCACTGGTGTTTCTTCTTTTAAAAACCTCTTTAAACTATTGAGCTGCACAAATCACAGTCAGGATAAAGGACTGTCCCATGACTGGAGCCGCGCTGGTGATACGGGATCATTCCCTACGGTCGATTTTATAGAGCTGTCTATAATTTATCCTGGTGCTTTAGAGGAGCCTGCGCTGTGGTGTGGGTATCAGAGGGATGCTCGCGGCTGGGTTTCTCCCCACGCTGGAGGAGAAGCGAGTCTATGGTGGGGGGTGTGTGGGGTGTGTGTGCAAATGTGAAGGTGTGACACAGTCCAGAACAAAAGTTCATGTCCTGAGAAGTTGAAGTGCAGAAGGGGGGGGGGGGATTTTCTGTGCCTGGCGGCGGTGGCGGGGAGCTGTGGGGCTGGGGCAGCCCCCGCTCAGGGCAGGGTCCCCTCGCTGGGCGTCGTGCTGCTCATCGCAGCGTCAGCCCCATGTCCCGGGAGGAACTCTTTCCTGGCCCCCACCTTTTTGGTGTTACTCACTTAAAACGCCACGCGCTTCTGCACCCCTCCTTTACAGATAACTGCACGGTCCTTAAATAACACTGTCGGGTGAATGTTAACAGAGAGCAAATATGTGCAACTTACAGATGGATAATACTGTATGTGTGTGGCTTCATTAGCTTTTTACACAAAAGCCTGTTTATTGTATGAAAGAAAAGAACCTGAATCATGCTCCCAGCTTCTATAAGTGGAAATACTGCCTTTCTGCACAGCTTGTGCAGACTTCATGCGAATGGCTACAGCTAAAAGAGGGAAACCTTTATCCGGGCGCGGGGGTGTGGGAGAACATCGCAGGATCCCAAAGCAGCAGCACGGAAGATGCTGGAAGCCACCCGGGAGCAGGGGTGGTCTCTGACCCTGGTGTAGGACCTTGCACTTGGCCTTGTTGAACTTCAGGAGGTTCACACAGGCCCACTTCTCAAGCTTGTCCAGGTCCCTCTGGGTGGCATCCCTCCCCTCCAGCATGTCAACTGCCCCGCTCAGCTTCGTGTCATCTCCAAACTTGCTGAGGGTGCACTCGATCCCACTGTCTGTGTCATTGAAGAAGACATTGAACAGTACTGCTCCCAGTACGGACCACTGAGGGCCACCGCTTGTCACTGATCTCCATCTGGACATTGAGCTGTTGACCACTACCCTCTAGATGTGACCATCCAACTGGTTCCTCATCCACCGAACAGTCCACCTGTCAAATCCATACCTCTCCAGAGGCCTTTCAGAAGCCCAGAGAGACAACATCCATAGCTCTCCCCTTGTCCACTGATGCAGTCACTCCATCAGAGCCAGGGACAGTCACTCTTGCCGTTGTCGTTATGTCTTTGCATAGTAAGACTATAGAAAGTCTTACTATGAAAGTCTCGCATAGAAAGACTGCTCGGAAGCCGGCAGCCGGGGATGGCAGCGAGGGCGCGGAGCTCTGCAGAGCAGTGTCTGCTCCCCGGGCTCGCTCCGCTGCTCCTGCTGCTCCCGCACAAGCGATGCCCTTCGGTCCCCAGCTGCCACGTGTGCCACCCCTCTCCTGGCTGTTTCAACACCGCTCCCATCCATGTGCTGCCACTTTGTGCGGGGCCCCGGGGGTGGGCGGTGGTGGGAGCACCCTCCTGCCCCTCCTTAGGGTGGGCATCGCTCCCCATCCGCCGCTTCTGGCGAGGCGGCTCTCGTTGCAGCGGTACCCAGAGTTATACCTGCTGTCCCGAGTGAGCCCTTGGCTTGGACAAAAGCCTGTCTGCTGGTTAGTCATTTGTATCGCTGTAAGTGGGGTGACATTTTTATTATTTCCCGTTTATCTGGGCTATTCTCATGGTAGCTGGTTGTTCATAAAGCTGCTCGTGGAACGGTAGCAATAAGGGTAATCCACTTCACGTTAAAGTGAGTGATTTGTGTAACAATAACAGTCTTCTGCATCGGCTTTATTTGTTGACTAATCTCTATCTGTCTTTCAAGGATCATTCTTTTAAACTGGTAAATGAGGATGACAGTGCATCGAACGGCAACAAGCCGGTGGCATCCACTCCAGTGCCAGGATCTCCATGGTAAGCAGATGCGATGGGACCTGTTAGAAGCCGCTCATCGGTGCCGTTTCCCTCGCCAAACCCACGGGAGAGCTCTGGCAGGTGGGGAGGATGCGCTGCCCTGGGTGCTATGTAGCAACGCTGGCTTCTGCCGGAGCTTTTCCTCCTTAATCGTGTCGATAAGGAAGCCGCGGGGAGGCAGCCACAGGCGCGGGGTGAGCCAGCGCCCGGGGAGCGGCGAGGTGAGGGCGGTGTGTGGCGAAGCCGCGGCTCAGCCGGGGACCAGCGCCGGCAGGAGGCACCTGATGGTCTGTCTGTGTGGTCCTGCGGGCAAGTGTGGCCACTTGCTGGCTGGGAGTGGAGCGGTGGCCGGCTGTGCTCCTTGGGCAGCTCAGCTTGGGTGGTGCTGGGGTAGGTGAGAGAGGAAAGGTTCCTAAGAAACGTTCTTGCTTTTTAGGGCCAGATTCTCTTTCTCGCCCAGTTATTTCCTTGGCAGCGGGTGACTCACTGTCTGGCAAGAATGGGGTTGATTTCAGTGAAAATAGGTTGTGTCTCATGACTCAGGTTTCCTGACAACATTCCCATTCAGATAACTGCATGTTGGGTAACTAAAGCTCTTGTGTCGTTTGTAAATAGATAAAAACTTTCTTTGCTTTCTGTCCCAAATGGCTGGCTAGAAGCATTTTTTACCCCCTTTATCCATACGGATTCATACACTCGATGGAATAATGAGGTTATCCTCAGTGGCTGACGTCTCTGGGATCTTTGGCTCAGGCACTGCACATGGACATCAGCCATCACTTGTTATTATCGTATTGTGCCATTTCACAAACCGGTGCTGTAAGCGCAGTCTGATGTCCTGCTTAGTCTCAGCATCGTAAATACATGATTTGCATCAGTCGTTTCTCGTCTGGACAGTTACTGCTCTGTGGCATAGTGCAGAAGAACCGTTGGAGTCCAGCGGTGTCACAGGCAGGTTATGGTTTCATCCCTTCTGAGAGAGAGGGGCCATAGCCCATGGTACCCGCCGAGGCATCTCACTGCACCCCTCTTTAGAATCATGGAATCATAGAATTGTCTAGGTTGGAAGAGACCCTTGGGATCATCGAGTCCAACCATCTACCCTACTCTGCGAAGTTCTCCCCTACACCATATCCCCCAACACCACATCTAAACAGCTCTTAAACACATCCAGGGATGGGGACTCAACCACTCAACCACCTCTTCTCCGGCAGTGGCTGCCGAGCGGTGGGTGGGCAGCTGGTGCCTCCCCCAAAGTGCACCGCTCACATCCAAACTGGTGATACTGCAATCTCTAGGGGGAAACCATACATTTCTGGGTTTTCAGAGGGCTGTTCAGTGACCCAGTGAGCGGTCCGGGTGCGAGAAAAGGCATAAAAACCTGGTCCTTGGGCCCAGAGGGAGGGGGCATAGTCCTCGTGCTGACAGTTGTCCCATGTTCTGAGGTGGCAATACCTCATCTGCCCCACGGCTCCTGGTGGAACGTGGCTGTAGGGTGCTTCAGTCACAATTTACAAATTTCTTTGATAGGTTGAAAGTAGATAGTCGATACAAATTCTGAACTTACTTCAACCACTCCCCACCCGTAGGTTGGCTCCCTGCTTCTGTGGGGCCCGTGGCTGATGGGGCATCAGCACGCCCCTGGCAGGAGTAGCTAGAACGTCATTTTTAATGGCAGATAAAAAATCAGGAATGTTATCAAACTTTACCTACCTTATGAAATAAAAAAAAACCAAACACACTAATATCATAATCTTGTGCCTTTACTCATTCTTAAATTGCAATTTTCTAAAGGGAAATATGAACATAACAATATCTGCATTTCCAGTTTATGCTCTGTGACTGAAACAAAATACCACGCGTCCCCTGCGGATAATTGAGACCGTTATTATACCAAAGAGGAACAGGTGACACGTTACATGGGGAAAGGGACATTAATTTTAAATTAAATGTCAAATTATATTAGTCATGGAAAAGTGAAGAGGTGTCACAAGGGACCCCAGAGTTTGTCACCTGGGGTGGTGGCACGCGAGACCTGGTGATAGTCAGTGATTAACGAGCACTGTCAGGTCCTGTGTGCGTGGCCAGAGGAGCCGTGAGCACGGCAGCGCCCCGGCAGAGGAGAGCACACATCTCCAAACCCACTGGTTGGAATCAAATAGTGACTTCGACAGTCCCGTGTGCACGTGGTACCATCACACGTCCCAAGCAAGATGCTGATTTCACGTTTACCGTCATTGGCAACTAATTCCCCCCGGGGTTCAGATCCTTCGGTGTGCGAACTTGCCAATGAAGGAAATTACAGCGAGGGGCGTTTCTGAGCTGCGTTTACTCCCAGGCAGGATTGGACCATAATTTGAATATTTATAAAAGAATAACCATAACCCAGTTATATTATTGAGCCGCGTCTGTCGTCTTCACCCAAACCCCAAGATGTTTTCCCTTCTTTCTGGGACGACTGCGGCATTTTTGGGAGCGTGGAGCCTTGGTGTGAGACGTTCCCGTGAAGTGCCCTTTGGTGCGTCCTGCCGAGGAGGCTCGGGGCTGGTGGGTCGGTGTTTTGGGGAGAACAGAGGTTCCTGTAGCTCCAGGGTACAAAGGGAGAAGTAGTAATTAGATTCCACCTGATCATTGTGGAGCAGAGGATTAGAGCATCTGTCTTGTGGGGCTCTTCTGTGATCCAAAACATTTGTGTACTAAAAAAACCAGAATGTTATGAAAATATTTGTCACGTCCATATCACTGAATTCGGGATGCCAGGACTTCCGTGGAGTGTAAGTGTGACTGAAGTCCACAGCCAGGTTTGTACAACCAATTTTGTGCTCCTGTTCGTTGGGAGAACATGTAACTCCACGGAACGTAATTATGGTGATGGTGGGGCTCAGTAACGCACTTTCACTGAGCTGCTCCCAGCGCCCTGCAGCTCCCCCCACGGCTTCTCACTGACGTTATCTATTTTTCATTACGTGTTTGGGCAAGATCAATGGTGGTGTCTTACCAGTGGTACACAGACTTTGTTGGATTATCTTAATACAGTACTCTGCAGTGATGGACCATTTTTCCTATTTGTAGTCTTTTACTCAGACCAGATTTTTTTTTTAAACCAGTTTTGTTCCCTGCTTTTAATAAGAGTTAAGCATCAGACCTTCTAACGATAAAATTTGTCCCTTCCAGGTATTTATGTTTCAGAGAGACCAACATTTTCCTATTATAAATGTGTGTGTGTGTGTATGAGGTTTCTTAGTTTTCATTAGGATTCAGAAAGTGCGGGCTTGAGATTGATGTTCTGTTTGTTTATTTACATATAGATTTAGTGAAGTAAAACTTGAGGGTTTTGAATGTCTGTTAAGGATGGTGCGATACTTATTTTCATATTATTTTAGCTGGTTTAAAATGAATGTCAGGACAAAAAGCTGACCCGCTGTCACAGATAGTTTAACTGACCGAGTCAAGAAACTGCGGTTTGCACAGCAGCGCTTGGTCACATTTTTCAAATTTGAAACAGAGCCCATAAAAATCAACCTAAACCTTTGTGGTAGACTTCTGCGGGGGCTGGTTCTACCTCTCCAGCAGAGGGTGCGGGGGCAGCCAGTGGGGATGCCACGGGGTGCCATGGTGATGTCATGGGGATGCCATGGGGTTACCGTGAGGATGCCACGGGGATGCCACAGGGATGCCACAGGATTGCCATGGGGATGCCACGGGGATGCCATGGTGATGCCACGGGGTTGCCATGGGGATGCCACGGGGTTACCGTGAGGATGCCATGGTGATGCCATGGGGTTGCCATGGGGATGCCTCAGGGATGGCATGGTGATGCCATGGGGTTGTCACTGGGTTGCCATGGGAATGCCATGGTGATGCCATGGGGTTGCCACAGGGTTGTCATGGGAATGCCATGGGGATACCATGGGGATACCAAGGGGGTGCCATAGGGTTTCCACAGGGATGCCATGGGGATGCCTGTGTTGCACCTCCTCTGACCAGTGCAGCCCGATAAGGCTCCCACGGCTGCCTGCCAGGCGCAGGCAGAGCCCCAGCCCGTGGGCATCGCAGAGATGGCTGCACAGCCCCGCTGGCGAGCCTTCTGCCACTTGCAGCTCTCAGCCACGGTGTTAGAACGTGGAATGTATTTTCCTGGGGCTTCTCTTGCTGTGAGCACCACAGCATTCCTCCACACCTTTTTTTTTTCCCCCTGCCTTGATAGAATATTTCACCTACTGCTTTTTTGGGGGTGTTCAGACCATTTCTATGATATTTTGTGGATAAGGAGAGAGTGGCTGTACCCGAGGTGAGTGGCGTGGGCTGGCGGGGCCTGGGGCAGGCTGTCAGTCTCACCCGCGCGCTGCAAACGGAGAGGCAATAAGCCGGCGGTGGGTTAATTTCTTGTTCGTGGGCGTATCTGACATTATCTAAGCATAGTTTATCACTTGGAATAGGTGTGTAGTCTGGACTGGAGATGACCGGGTCTTCTTCTTCAACCCTACAATGCAGCTGTCCGTCTGGGAGAAGCCGGTGGACCTGAAGCACCGCGGCGACATAAACCGGATCATCGAGGATCCTCCTCACAAGCGCAAGCTGGAAGCTGCAGCAGGTAACTAAAACCCTGTGATTATTTGCCTCTATTTAAACTCAAATGTCGAATGAAACTTGGTGGCTAAATACACTCAGTGAAAATTTGACAACCGTAATTAGGGTGGGTTTCCTTTTGAGATTTCATATAAAGTATTCCGTTAAAATTGGTGTTTATTGCAAAGCCCTTATTTTCGCTGGCGTGCTGAGCTGGGGGATAGAACGTTCTCGTTATTGGCAATGAAGAAACAGGTGGCTTCTTATACGTGATGAATCTTTGATGTATAAAATACATCTCGGAAGGCACTGTCTTTATGTTTTATTACATTTATTTCCAAGATGTACATTAGGAATGCATTGCCAATGCATTATTCAGCTGTTACACAAAAGCAGATACTCCGTAGCTAATGATTATCCAACCAAGTTGTAGAGGGGAGAGAAAATCCCAGTAGTAAACCTCTAATGAGTGCTAAAAGGTTTGGTGGAAACGTGGGTGCTTCCATCTAGACATGGCTCTGCCCATCACCTTCCAAACGCCATGGACTCCTGAAGGGGAGAGCGTGGCCAAAGAACACCGTGTCGATCTGCAGTAACCCATGTCCAGTGGCTCCAAGTACCGCTGAACCAACACCGCTTGGCATGTTGGTCACCCAAGGTGTTCACCATCTGCTCCTCCCAAGACGGCCAGGTTGCGGAGGCAGTTTTCCCAGCCCGGCTTTCCCATTCCATGCTCCTCACCATGCCGTCTGTTTTTCCTGCTTTCCATACTTTCGTTGTTCAGTCCAGACTTTGTCCCTGCTGGTGACCTCCACGCAGGAGCAGCCCAGCCTGCCAGCCTGTGCTTCCCAGTGTGGTAGTGGCTCCATAGTTTGCTCCACCACATTTCTCTCCAAAGATTCTGTTTCACCGTTTTTTGTGGACTCCCCGTTACTGGGAGCTGCTCTGTGCCGCGTCAGTGCTCCTTTTATCTCCTGGCACCGTACGTTGGCTCTCACATGGGAGCGGTGGCAGTGAGACCTGCCGGTCCGGGGAGGACTCACGGCGCACGGCAGTCATTGAAACGCTGCTTCTCTTGATGAGCTGCTTGTAATTCTTGAATATTCTGCTTTGCAGTAGTTCAGTGGAGAGCCTCTGTCAGCCGATGGCTGTTCTTTAGCGGTGAGGTCTAGAAAAATGGAGAGGGAAAAAATGAGGCTTTTGTCATTCTTTTAAAGTGTAGTATTTTATCACGAAGAGTAAGGTAGCGGTGCCAGTCTCGCGAAGCGAGGAGCTGCCTTTTACTCTCCGGCCATGGGGGGCTGCAGCGCACGCACAGCTCCCCGTTCACCGCTGCGAAACGGGCTGTGAGTGTGCCTTTGTGGACTTGAAACACTGTGTCTGCAGGCAGATAAAAGTGAGAGATAATCAGGATTTATGTTATCGGTATTAGCAGAATTTTACTGGAAAAGAGCTACAAAGAATGGTTTTCTAGTGGTGTAGTCCTGGTCAACGTACAGCGCCATTTCATTTTTCAATATAAATTTCCATCGCCAGGTGCTTGTATACAGATCATCTTTGTATATGGCTTGTATATGGCTCGAGCTGTATATCTAAAAATTCCAAAGCATTTCTGCTCAAGTTCATTTTTCTGGAGAAAAACACAGCATATGTTTTTTACTACAGGACATATTGAAAGATCAGTTAATTACTGAAAGGGGGAATGATGGCCAAATACAAAACTGAGGGTCATTGTCCATGGTCTGTAACTAATTAACAAGAAGAGCCTAAAGTCATTGTTGATATGTTTCACTTCAAAAATCTATTTTTTGCTGCGTGTTCCATCCTTTTTATTTATGTAATAGCTATATGTACCACCAAGATTTGATTCACCAGTTTCTTTATGACCATGGCTTTCATTGTTGCTAATAGTCTTAATCTTCCTCGCTATAATTGGGACTTGTGGTTGCTCAGTATTTGAGACAGTCGGGTTATAATTAGTATATATTAGCTGCTGAGGTGAAAGGAATTATTTGTTACCATTTCTCTTAGCTTGTAATCTCGAGTAAATAAATAACACAAATGAGCTGTGTGTTTGCAACAATGGGTGCCAAATTTATTTAGCTTAGTTGCTGCTGCTGAGTTTTAATTAGAATTTTTAAATCAAAGGCGTGAAAAAAGTTGGCAAGCGTAGTTATTCATGGGGTGCTGCGGGTTATCTGCGCATCGCTCCGCTGAAAGATCAAGTGCATTTATAATTTAAGCGTAAGTGAAAAATTACTCATTTATCAATTACTCCGCCTCCACAAAGTATTAGTTCTTAGGGAGATTTATGAGGGTGTCACGGCTGTTTTCTAATGGGCTCCCATCAGGCCGTCCCATGGAATCATTACTCCTCTGTACGGTCACAGACTGACCAGAATATCCCTATTTCCCCTCAAAGATTCCCTGAAATGTTTCTGTCTCATTGCAGCGGAGAAAGACATTTTTATCTATTCCCATTCCTTCACCTGCTGGAACGGGTTGTGGGGATGTTTGGGCTGAGGGCGTTATTTTTTTGAGCTGATTAAAAGAAAACTGACGTTCTGATGAGAGAAAACGGCATGCTGCTTTGTAGCTGTTGCGATGCCTATTCAAAACCAGTTGTGATGTAGTTTACTCTGTTCCCACAAATATTTTGGGCCGGTGAGCCATCAGACAGGAAGATGAAGCGCGGGCTGGGGGGGGGCGGGCAGCCCCAGGGCTTCCGTGCCAGGCGTGGGTGGCAGTGCTCCTTCCCCACTGCGGATGAGATTGCTGCCCGGGGCCGACGGACTGACAACGCCTTAATTCACCCACTCAACGCCGGCGTTTCCTCTTCCTTCTGGAAAATGAAGCAGAATTCATGACATGGCTGGGATTAGCTGAACGGTTTAATTAATGATAGACCCTCAGATCGGGGCAGTGCTCCGCTTCACCATTTCATGGAAAGATTATTGTCAAGTAATATACTTCGTCAAAGCTTTAAATCAATGATTAGATTTTGTGCTCGGCTGCTTCTCTTCCCTTTGGCAGTCGGTCTGTGATCGTACCGGCGGTCCAGCGCTGTGACGTGATTCAGTTGGTCCCTGAGTGAGACGGAGACACCATTGGCCGTGTCTCGTGGAGTTTTCCATTGCACTGAAATTTTAAGGGAAGATGCTGCCTTTAAGCTTGGCCTGTGTATCCGAGACACTATTCACAGAGCAGGCAGTCGTGCAGGCGAAGCGAGAGGGATTTGGTGTCCCCCCGTGGCTCGCCGCGGGAACCCGAGGTGTGTCAGGCACCGGTGGGTGGAAGCGAACTCTGAAATCACGGTGTATTGTGTCAGAGTTCTTTTACCTGAAAGTCATGAGGTCATTAGAGAATGGGGTTTCTAAGTGCCCAGCTCGCATATTTTTCACGGCAAAATTTAAGAATTACATATCCGCTTTAGAAATCTATGAAAGGTCTTGTCGGAAGATGACTTCAAAATTGAGTTCCCTTTCAAGTAACTGGAGAACTGCACGTAACCGTCTGCTGTCCCCAGTGAGTTCGCTCCTGTCCCGTGGGAATGTCGATGGGAAGCGGTCCCTGCCTGGGCCGGACTTGCCGCCACATGCTCGCTTGGCTAAAGGAACAGCCTGTCATCAGGATTCGTCATGTTGGAGCGTAGCACGGCACGGGTCCTTCAGCCGGTTCCAGAGGGGGACACGGCAGGAGCTGCCCCACGGGCACGGCTTTTCCTTCTCGTTAGTAGTGGTGACGTTCGGTAGGAACAGGGTTGTGCTTCCCCGCTCACCCTAAACTTCAGCTCTCCTGGAAGACACCATCACGTACCCTGTCACTTCATACTATTGCCTGCAGCATTCATTAAAGTTAAGATCACCGCTACCCCCTCAGGTCCTTCAACTCCTGATTAATACCTTTATAATATCTGTTGAATTACGTTCCTCCTTCGGAGTTTACAGGGTGTTTTTCCTATTTCTTTATATTTTCAATTGGGTGTCCCAAAGAAGAGTTTACCAAGAAGAGGTAATAGTTTCAGTGAATTTATGTATATTTGAAACACGATTGAATTCAGTTCTGCGTTCATAATGCTCGTATAGTGGCAGGAACGTTGAGATCAGACTCCTCATTTCGGAATGCCATTCATTGCTCCTTATTATCATTTTAATTTGTAGTCAGTAAAGTGTCTGTTCGCACCTGCCGTGTATTTCCTCCTCAGTGGCCTCTGTCCCCGCGCTGCCCACGCCGCAGCGCCATGGCAGCTCTTTGGTTTTTCATGTTCCTTTTGCAGTGATTTAGTGTATGGCGTGGTCGTGCCCTTAGCATAAATAAAAGGTAACATTTGCTGAAAGCACGCTGATAAATATGTAATTTCCCTGAAACAGGGAAACAAAATGAGATAAGAATAAGATTCTGAAATTGAAACTAGAAATAAACGGCCAAATATCTGTTAACTTGAACGATACGAAGATTGGGCCCATTTTCCAGCAGATGTCTTGGAGTTTCATCTGATTCCAGTGAGATCAGATCTCACCATATCAAGTCATTCAAACCTTTTATGTCCATAACTTAAGTTCAATTTTATATTAATTTTTAATATATTTTTTTCATAGTTTCCTAAATAGCAAGACACGTCTTCATTGCCAGTCTAATACGAAAGGCTGAGGTTGGGTGTTTGGGGTGTTCCCGAGCTAACCACGTACAGTTTGATTTTTACATTTCTCAGCTAATTCATGGTGAACTACGGGAGAGCCCCCACACAAACTGGATGGAGGTGACTTCTGGTGGTCTGTCCATTTGAATTTTGATGAAAATTGCATTTTGTATACGTGAAAAAAAAAAAAAAAAGAAAAAAATTAATAATAATTTCCAGAAGTAGATACCTGTTCTATATGCTTCACATTCGTTATGAGTGACAATGCAACCTCAGCGTCCTCCGAGGGCGAGTGTCCAGACCCAGCCAGGAGTGTAACGGTGCGGCGTCAGGAGGGAGGGGGTGGTTGGTATCTCCGCAGCTTTGCTGTACTGCTCATGGAATTTGTGGAAAAGCAGCGTTACAGTTTAAGGAGGGGGTTCCGGAGCCAGTTAGCGCTGTGGAATCCTTCAGGTTGCCACCACTGAAATAATTCTGCAGAATTGTCTTTGCAGTTGCATTTTTAAGGGAAGGGAGGAGGGAGGATCGGGTGAGACAATAACAAGATTTAAAACAATCGTGTGACAAATGAACAATGAGTATTTTTCAGCACAAAAATGGTTGGGTTTATTGCTCTCACTTTCATTTGGATGAAGGCAATTCTGACGATCTGATGAAATATGTGTTATTTTTAAAATGCTCTGTGGAGACTGAAAAATAGTAAATATGTGAGCAGCGGCCAAAAACAAGAAATGAAAGGTTAATTTGAGGAATTTGTATTCCCATTTATCTAGTTCAAATCTAATAACTATTTATTTCTTTTTAGCAGATAAATGTGTTAGTTCTTGTCCAGAGGATGAAAATGATGATCTTAGCGTCAAAACTAAGAGAAATAAGTAAGTTCTAAAGTTTGCTTATCTATATGTAATGTTGGGAAGCTAACGTCTTGTACAAATAAGTGCAAAGAGAAATGCAATTTTTTTCTTCTCTGTGTATAACTCTGCCCATAAGTTACGAGAGTTATTCTTAAGGTGTCCAGTCTTCATCAAACACTGATTCTTTATAATCTCTTGTTTCCCATGAACATCATCCATTTTTGCCTGGGTAACTCTCACTTACTTCGAAATGGTTAAAAAAAGACTTTAAGGATATGTAGTTACTTCAAAGATGTTGGATAAAAGCTTTGTCTTCATTGAAGTGAAGCAGATTTTTTTCACTGGTGTCCGGGTTTCCGGGCCACCGGCTCAGAAATATCCGGAGGTATTTCTCTTATGATGCTCTTTCTGTTACAGTGCTTTTATTTGACCTTTATTACCATGTGTGTTTCAAATTCTCATGAAGTAAAAGGCAAAAAAACAATGTGCCAAATAAGCGACTCCCTCACCCTTTGCCAAAAAAGCAAGAAAATGAAGTAAACACTTCTGGTTTAAGAAGTACCTCAGAGAAGTTTCATTCTATTTAACCTTTGGCCAGTAACTGCGTATGGCATCGGCTGTTCATGCGGGTTGGCTATGATTGAGGTACTGGTTTGGGCCATTAAAAAAATAAATCTGTAAAATAAATCTGCATAGATAGTGTGTTACATTGCGGGGAGGGGGGAGGCATTTGACCGGTAAGCGCAACAATTTTCTATATTTTTCAGGTAAATATATTGAAGATAATTATACTCTGTCCTATATTGCTGTTCTTACCGTACTACATTGGGTGGTTCCTTTGACCTTGTTAAAGGTTTCTGTGGATTTGGTTTATCATGAGGAGAGAGTCAGATACTCCAAGTTGAGTTGTGCGTTTAATGTATATTTGCGGCATGATAATCATTGAGAGGACAGTTAAAGCTCTAAGAACCCTGTCTTAAGTTCTATCTTTGTTCAACTTGTAAAATAAGTCTTTAAGTTAGGAGGGATCAATTCTTACTTGCCGTATTTGGACAAACCGTCCTGGGAAAGCCAAGGACAACATTCACATAGGAAGTAGAATTTGCCCTGGCAACATAGCATTTTCTCAGACTTCGTTGTGATGATCCCAGTTCCCCAGAAGTTTGACCTGTCACCAAAAAGCCATAAAGTGTTTATTTTTCTGTCAGCGGAACATGCATCCCCTAACCACTACATGATTTCTGCAGCTGTTTTTGAATTTTAAATTCTCTTTTATAACATGTAAAGATTTCCTGACATTTTGTTTTGTACCCTGAAACGATGGCGGAATATAGAGGTTCATGGCTGGACCTTTAAAATACTGACCTTTTACCAAAGAAATGCAGTCTCAGTGCCTGTTTAAATGGATTAATCTTAGACTATAGCTAACAGTTCATGACATAAAGTAAAATACTGTAGGATTTTCATTTCAAAGTAGAATTTAGTTGTCCTCAGGATGAAAGTCACGCGTGAACTCTTTTGCTCTACTGAGATTGCTTTCGCTGATGTACCTGTGACATCCCCCTGGGGGTGGGACAGCACCGTCCCCGCTGGGTGTCCGCTGCAGTGGGGTGTCCCGTGGCTGCAGCGAGAGCCGGCCACGGCTGCGGGCACAGCGCTGAGAATCGCTGCTGCCATCAGCATTTGGAACGGATGTTCTTGTTTCTAAGCGCTGTGTGTCTCGTGCCTGAATTAGTCAGCCAAAAGCAGAACCGATTTCAAAATTGTGACCTGTAATTCTGTGTAAGGAAAGCAGCCGAGTTATTCCGCGCCATAAACGCCAAAAGGGGAGTTCGCAAGATGTGGAGTGTGTTAAAGTACTGGTTAAGCTCCCAGTTTTGGACAAGGGGATACACATCACCGCCTTTTCATCCTCCCAGTTGCACGTACGAGCTCCAAATCTGACTTTCTGTTTCCTCTGCTTTGTTGTCCGTGGGAATGGACAAAGTGCTGCTCGCTCCAGACTGAATCCAGATTTGTCTGTACAGAAAACGAAACAAATTTTTGTTTTGGTGCTGGACGGACAGAAAAACTATTTATATCGCTGTCATATCCCCGTTAATAATTGCGTATGAAGGCAGTGAATGTTTTCCAACATTGAATAGGTTAAGTATGACTGAAGAAGGAGGTGTTGCATGCTTTCAGGGTTTGTTTTTAAATATGCTGTATTCCTTATTCTATTTTATATAATTTAAGTAAAGTTACTTAGGAAATCATGTTGTTCCTTTGACATACAATAAATCATCTGCTATGCAGAAAGCTCAGTGCTAATGATAAGATCTAATTCCATAAAAGTTCCAGCGCAATTCTTTCTAATCCAACTGGAGGGTCATCGCACAGAGGTTCCCACTGGATCACCGTCCCTGCGGGTGGGGGAGCTCTGGGCTCCACAGCTGCTCTTGCACAGTCCTTTACGCTTCATGGGGATATAATGAAATTGCTTAAAAATACTGAAGTCAAATTCGCACTCGGGCAGTACTCTGACTGTACCCTGTACAAAAGAAAAGCAATCTTCAGAGAAACTTAGTACTTCTGGGTTTTCTTCACCGAATGATGGAAGAACTTGGGGGGCTCTGTCCCACCGCCTCCCGGGAGGTGGCTCAGGGACCTGTCCGGGGGTGTTGAGCATCTCCAAGGATGGAGCCCCACAGCCTCCCTGGGCGGCCTGCCCCAGTGCCCGACCGTCCGCACAGTGAAAAAAACCCTTTTTTCTTATGCTTAGATGGATTTCCCTGTATTGAGGTTTGTGCCCATTGCCTCTTCTCCTTCCTGTGGGTACCAGTGATGCAAAAACATCTCACCGCCATATCCATTTTGAGATTTGCAGGCTTCCGAGGTCGTGCTAGTGGGCTGCCTGTATGTGTCCTGAGTAGGGAGCCACATAATGTGTTGTGCAGATTATTGTAGTATTTGCTAAAGAAAGTTATATTCTTTGTTGTCATTTTTGGCATGGGAAAGAAGTCTGGGTGATTTTGCAGCATTGTTTTCAATTGTGTGAGAAGGACTGACGGAAAGAGGGGCTGTTCTGGTGCTTGGCTGGTGGAGTGCTGCGCTGTATTTCTCTCCGTTTCAGCTTGAAAAAGCTCTTTGTGTGTACTAGAAATTGAATTGGGCCTTTCATGGACCATGTCACAGAACAAAATTTGCTATTACGGTATGAAAGTCAGTGTCATTCTGTGAAGAACACCAATTTGATCTCTCTCAAATCAGTAGTAATGCAGCATCATTTTAGGATAAATGTAAGTGTAATGTAATTATTTGTAGAAGGAAGATAATACTCTGGGGCTCACATTACGTGCTGATCTAATTCATTTGCTTAGAAACAAAAAAGTGTTTTCCTGTTGAAATTTCAAACTAAATATTATTCCATGGTGGTGAAAATGACATCAGTAGAAAATGCAGTCATGCGTAGTAGGAGGCTAAAAATCAAATCGCCTTACTTTCGTTATCCTCACTTGAACCTTGCGATCGTTCTAAGGCTCCTGATCTTTCCAGAAAGAGCCTTAATTTTCACTGAACCCACTCATTGCTCAAAGCATTAAGAAACAGCAGGATGGACCCAGAGCAGAACCCTGGTTTGGAGCTCTGAGTTGGCCACCATCTTTCAACACCGGCGTTCCGTATCCCCGTCTCCAACCCCGTCACCTCCTGGCACAGCCTCCTGCCCACCCATCGCGTTCCCGGCTCCTCCACCTCTCCCTGCAGACGCCGAGGGACCGCGGGGGCAAACCCTCAGCCCTCCGAACCACGGGAGAGGTGTTGGCTCCCAGCGCTGTGCGAGCACAGTGCTAATGGTCTCTCCCTCTGATAAAATTATGTAGACATTAGGGAGGGGATTCTGCCCCTCTGCTCCACTCTGGGGAGACCCCACCGGGAGTGCTGCCTCCAGCTCTGGAGCCCTCAACATAGGAAGGACACGGAGCTGTTGGAGCGCGGCCAGAGGAGGCCCCGGAGATGCTGGGAGGGCTGGAGCCCCTCTGCTGGGAGGACAGGCTGGGAGAGGTGGGGGGGTTCAGCCTGGAGAAGAGAAGGCCAAAAAGGGGAGACCTCAGAGCCCCTTCCAGTGCCTGAAGGGGCTCCAGGAGAGCTGACGAGGGACTTGTTACAAGGGCGTGGAGTGATGGGATGAGGGGGAATGGCTTCAAACTGGAAGAGGGGAGGTTTAGATGAGATCTGAAGAATAAATTCTTTGCTGTGCGGGTGGTGATCCCCTGGGGCAGGTTGCCCCGAGAAGCTGTGGCTGCCCCATCCCTGGAGGTGTTCAAGGCCAGGTTGGACGGGGCTTGGAGCAACATGGGCTGGGGTGAGGTGGGGGTTGGAACGAGGTGGTCTTCAAGGTCCCTTCCAACCCAAACCCTTCTATGATTCTGTGTTTTGTGATTCTGTGATTTATCTGGCGTGAAACAGCTCTGCTCCAGTGGTGACACTGATTATGTAGGGCTGCAGCTGAGGAGAACATCCATCTTGCGCTGCTGCTCCTTTATGGTTGCAACTTGCATTGAGCCGTCCTTCTTCCCTGCAGTGAGCACAGCGGTGCTACGTACGCGCCTTTATCCGGGGGGTTTGTAAGCAAAGGGGCGCAGGCGATAAGCAGTCAGTATTTTCTCAGAAACACCTATTTATTCTAATCAGATGCAATCTCGGAAAAAGCCTGTTGGGATAAATAGAGACCTTCTGGCACTGACAGAGGGCAGGCTCCTCGCCGGTGCTTTGTTGCGGTTTGTGCATTCGATGCATCACCGGAGCACTTCCCTTAGGAGGGAGCTCGTGGGGCGCATGGGAACATAAAATAAAGATTAGTGCTGACTTTCAAGTTTGGGGGCACAAAAGCAAGAAGAAAGAAAAAATATAAAAAAAAAGATGAGTCTCTTCAGTCACTGCTTTAAAGTCTCCACTCCTTGGCAAATTTTATATAAAGCTGTCACTGTTCTGTAGCTTGAAATATAGCGCAGTATTTGGCTGCTGAGTCCCTCTTTGATCACCCCGATAGGCCATCCTTCCTCAGAAGGAGCTGTTGGAGGTCCCTTGGCAGCTCCCCCGATCAATAACGAGCTACGGGTTTGGGTCAGTTCCCTGGCTGCTCCGTGCAGAGGTGTCCCGCTGTCCGCAGGGGTTTTCCGGAGAGGGTCAACCCTCTCCAAGTTGACAATCCCCTCCCGAGTTGACAATTACTGAACTATTTTCTATCTTACCTTGTTAAAGAACAGAAGATTCCCGAGCTGCTGAGCAGGGGAAGGCTGAAAGGGAGGAGAAAACCGAGGAGACATCAGCATCTCAGATCACGCCTCCCCTAGAAGAGCGCATCACTCATTTCCGAGACATGCTTCTGGAGAGAGGGGTAAGAAACGCGCTGGCTTACGCTGACACACGCCATTGATGAGAACAGGGCATCATCTATGACCGCTGCAGGAATCGTGTCATAATTATCACTTAGCAGTCAAATGAACAATTATTGAGAGGGGTTTTTCTGTCTATTAACTGTGTTGGGTTTGTGATGCTGTGACTTTTCGTGCGATGCTGTCCACTCAAGCGTGGCTGTGCAGAACTGAAAGCCCTTCACAGGTGCAGCTCTAATTAAATTGCTGTAGACAGCCCCAAAGATCAGCAGAGGCAGGAGGAGCTCTTCCAGCACAGAGCAGTGCCACGTGCCATCCCGGGGGTCCCGCGCGAACCCCAGAAATGGTGAGCAGAGAACAAAAGATGTGTGATGTACATCAGCTGGAGGACAGGGCCAGGCTCAGAAACGCTCGCAGAATCACAGAGTGGTCAGGGCTGGAAGGGACCTCTGGAGGTCATCTAGTCCAACCTCTCTGCCAGAGCAGGTTCCTGGAAAGCTCTTCGCCTTTTTTCGCACGGGAGAGGTTTCATCACTGCAAACTCCGATGATCCCAGCAGTGGGAAGCCAAATTCACTTACTGGCCATCCGAAATCCACCCAGTCTGTCAGGAAAGGACGCACTGGAGTCTCAGGAGGGTTAAGATAACCCGCCCTTTTCTTTGGACCTCCCTGAGGGTCCTTGGGCTTCCCTGGGGAGAGCTGGAGGTTCCGGCTGAGGCTGAGGGCAGCAGCGTGGGGTGCCCGGGGCTTTGGGCGGAACGGGGACCCAAAGCAGTGTCCCCTCCGCGGCCCGCCGGGCGAGAGCACTGGGAGCATCCCTCCCTCCCACAGCCACGGCGGCCGCGGCACCGGTACGGGTTACGGGAGGGCGCAGAGCTATTGCAGCCATTTTGTCATGACCTAATCAAGATCATGAGTCGATAGATGGAGCACTAATGAAATTTACAGACAGAGCCCATCAGTGCTATGAGCCTCATGACCAAGAGTGAAACACGAATTATGGATCATGTAATAGTGACTGATTTTGTAAAGAGCTTCATCCTGACTTGTTTTCTGCGGCAGCGCACACAAACCCGTTCTGAACCGGCCACGTAAAGACTACCGACAATATGAGGAATTTAGGATGCTGTTATTTATATACCTAAAATCACCTCTGCAAAAGTTCACCTCACGGTGTCCCTTCTTCCAGAGAACTGGTGATTGTGAGTGTGAATGGAATTAATCAACATAAAGCGTTTGGGCCCCGATCCTGCGAACGTGAATGGGTTTATAATGGGAGCAGTGTATGCAGATTTTATACCTCCCTCCAACACGCTGCAGATATGTTTTCTGTAGAAGTTCAGGTAGTTTCTGTAAAGAAAAAGAATCCAAGGTGTGTGTTGTAAGACAGTAAAGCCCATAAAATTTATCACTGGTAATCAGCAGAGTTTAAAGGTAGATAATTAGAGCTTCAGAAGCTCAACTGTAAATTATCTCCACGCCAGACCTGCTTTATTAATACATTTTGTTATTTACGCTTAAAAAAATGCAGAAGTGCCATAAATGAATGCGTGTTGATGATTTCTGCTGGAATATTTTAAGCCAGGGGACAATAAGTCAAAATTGGAAAGTATTAGGGATGTTCCATAATAGGATTCCTCGTGTGTTTCCAGTGTAAGAGTCAGACTTGCTCATAAAAGTAAGAAATTCAGGGAATTTAGTGTTTGCTTCTGCTATTATTTAAAAAATGTATAGATAATAGGTGACTTTGCTTTTGCCCTGGGCATTTTTTCAACATCCAGAGAAGCCGCTGGTTAGCTCCAGCTGGTCGGCATCGCTTGAAATGCGGTGAGGCCATTAGCGTTATTTTAAACTGATTATTTAAACAAGTGTCTCCTGCCGTTTCCTTGTAATGTTCTTTCTCAAGGAGTTACTTGATGGCATTACAAAGAGCTTGAACTACATAGAGTTCTTCGGTGTGCTTCTGAATCTTCCTACGTAAATTACATCAACAGAAGAATATTGTAACGTTTTGAGAGTAGAACGCGATTTGGGTGTAGCTCCAAACAATAGCGCTATTCTTAGGTCTGTGCCAAGTTTTCCAATGTAAAAATGTAATCTCTGATATCCTCCTGGAAGTTTAAAAATTTTTTGCAAAACCCTGAGAAAATCCAGGCCTCTTGGGGCTCCCTCACAGCCAAACACCCGAGTCCTCCAGGCTGCGTTTCTCAGAGATTCTTCTCTTCGCTAGGATGGCGTTGGCAAAACAAGACTTTATTAAGGATTCAAAACGATATTTCTTGTCAAGATTTTACCTTCTTAATACTGCTGAGAAAAAAGAGGGGTGGGGGGGTCCTAGCCCCCCTTCCCGTCGCGGTTTTTCCCTGTGCTTTGCAGTCTGGGTACGAGCAGGAGGTGAGAACTGGGAACCCGCCAGGAGCTCAGACCCCTTTCCCTGCGCCTCGGCGGTGGTAGTGGGCCACAGAACTCATCGTGTACTGCGGGAGGAGATGCCGCCCCCACCATCCCCGTGCTTGTGTTCCCTGGCTGAGTGTCCCATAGTAGGGAAGAAGACCACGATACAATACACGCTGGGAGATGAGTCAGAATATTAATATTTTATATGAATTTTTGGAGCTCCAGGATGATTATCCTGAACAGCGTATGACGTGGAGTTAGAATCAAATTTTTATATCTGTAGTGCTTAATTCAGGGATATATCTGCAGTATGTGAAATTAAATAATTACTAAAGAAAAAATCATAAACAGGAATGATTAAGTGATAAATTAGCCCGAGCTTAACTAGCTTCAAGTTCAAAGTGGCCTTTATACTGGAAACAAAGCTGATAGCCAAAAGTGAGTCTGAAAGACTTCCTGAAACAAAGGATTACTGCTGCTGACCCTTCTGGCGGGGGAAAGCCCCAAAGCTCAGGACTTGGCCATCTGCGTGGGCACAGAGGGCCACCCACCAGCTGCAAAGGCAACATCTGCAGGAGGCAGCCCTCAACCATTGCGCATCCAGAAAGTTAGCCTGAACTTCGAGTTTTCCAATTTCTAACCACTCTAAGAGGAAAACCATTTAAGCCCACTTTGCTGTGTCAGAGCTTTCCTGTTCGAGCGTTAATTACTCTATTTCAGTTATATTTCACATACTTATTTTAGTGAATTTACTCTTCTTTGTTACTGGATGGAGTGATCACAATATTTTCTGTTACTGCAGAGTTTTCTGTAACAAGGTAATTAACAGTGGTGCTGTGCCGGGTACCGAAATCAGGCCGGGGGTCTGAGGCTTGAACGCGTTCCCACAGCATCGTTCCATAAAAGTCCCGGGCAAAGGGGTCTGGGCAAGTGAGGGCCCTGTGCAGGTTCCTGGTGGTCCTTCCAGCTCGGTCACCATGAGAAGGTTTTGGAGAAGACGGGAGAACCTCTGCAGGAGGTGACACGTCCCCGTGCGCATGTGGATGCCCGGTGTCCCCCAGCTGGCTGCAGCGGGAACGGGGATGTGGCAGCCGCGCTGTCTCAGGGAAGCGGCACGTTTACTGCAAAAACATGGGGCTTTGATGATTTTCAGTGTCTGCACGCGCTGATGGCCTCATTTGGGTTATAATTTAAGTTTTGGAGAGGAGGGGAGTTAAAGCTGAGATAATTGCTTAAATGGAAATTGATGCTTCCGTTGTACAGAGGGGTTAATAAAATGGGTCTTTTCCTTTCTGCTACAGAGTCTTTCCATCAAAAATGTGGAATGAGCGTCTCCCAGACACTCACTGAGATGTCCTAGAGCAAATCAATACTAATGGTGTGGGGGCGACCGGAGCATTGCCAGAAACAGATTAAAATTCAGCTTCCGAGCGCTGTGAGGCATCCTTCGGAGGGTTCATTAGCTTTCTGCGCTGCTCTGTGGCTTCACCTTGGAACATTTCCTTCTTTCACACCCTTATTAAAATTCCTTAATGCCACCGCGTTTGTGTACTTCACAGGTTTCAGCGTTTTCTACGTGGGAAAAAGAGTTGCACAAGATCGTATTTGATCCGCGCTACCTTCTGCTGAACTCGGAAGAACGTAAGCAGGTGAGCGTCACCCCCGGTGCAGCCGCGGGTCGGCAGCGAGCAGCGCCCGAATTAACCGCAGTGATGGAGTCCTTGTCTCGGTGGGATGAAAAGAAGTGCATAAAATGAAAATGCCGCTTTGGAGTTTCTGGGTGGCCCGGGCGGCGTGGGCTCTGCTGCCGAGGAGGCGCTCTGCGCGCTGCAGGGCGAGCGGTGGCGCGTGGGTCTGCCTGTGGGGACCAGCGGTGGGCTCGGGGGTCGCGGGGACAACCGCTGCACCCGCTGGGAAACGGCGCTGTGGAAAGGGAAACGGCCACGAGGCAACGTCTCCCCTCTGAATTATTTAAATATCGTAGAGACACTACTTCATTTTTATTACTTAGAATGTTTTCTAGGAGTTTGGCGGTATTTACTGCTGTATTTTGCAATAACTAAACTTGCCAGGCGTAACTGGATGGAGCAGTGGGGCGGGTACCTGCTTGATGGGTTTCGTTTTTCTGGCAAGCTTCAAAGGGAAGTGGGCTTTTTCCTGCCTCGTTTATGTTGGCATTAATTATCACGGGGGATCTAAAAGGACCTGAGGGCTGCAGATCAGTCTGAAAAATTTAGGCAAGATGCAAGGATGTTGCGGAGAAGGCAAACGCTTCTATCCTGTAGCGATTTCTCTTCCTTACCAGTCTTTTGTCACCCTGGAGAAGGAAGAATTTTGAATATGGAATTGCCCATTTTTTAAATAGACACAGTGACAAATGGACTTATTCCTATTCCATTGCACCAGGGCCCATATTGTCTTGTGATTCTCCAGAGAGCTTCCTCTGGTTATTTACTGAGGGACTGGGCGCATACATCTTCATTTACTGCCTTTCCAATATTTTCTTTCCTAAGGAAAAAAAAAAAAAAAAAAGCAGAAGAAAACAATAAGGAAATATGGGAATGAAAATGTAAGAGAAAGTGCTAGGATAGAAAATACTGCTAAACCAGAGGCTGAGCAGGGAGTTCGGTATTTATTTCAGGGAATCAGCCAGGACAAAACCCAGACCTTAGTGAGTCAATCAGGATGTATTATTTATTTCATTTTATCAGCTTTGGAGGTGGTATAATAAAAATACATCACGAGTACACATAACATAATGTGCTTGAAGCACTGCTGAGGGGGACCTCGTTTGTGGGCTCTATTTAATACTCCCGGAAGGCGTTAGGAAAGGCGGGTCGTTGGCCGTCCCGTAGGTGGAAGCCCTCCGGCGGGTAGAGGTGGGCTCTGCGGGTGACTAATTCAGGCTCAGAGCGAAGGGAAGAGGGTGATCGTCGGGTGCTCTTCTGCAAAACAGGGTTAAAGAACAGTAAGCTTGGGAGCACGTGCCAGGTCTGTAATACACTTTAGATACTACGCTTGAAGTTAAGACTTCTGGACAGTCGTTACGAGTAGTTCCATTTAATTAGACTCCATCTTGCTCCAAGAAGTAGTTTAAGAAGAAAGTTAGATTTGGACAAGAGTTGGTGCCTGATTTAATGGAAGTACTTCTTGAAGTGCAACTCCAACTAGTAGAAGACATTATTTGGGTTTATGGAAGCAGTTGCCTTCACGGAGGCTGCCTGTGCGACCCGGATAGCGAGTTTCTGAGCGCTGCCTAAATTATGCAAATGAATTTATGGCAGAGGGGGTTAGAGGTGAAAAGTGGCTCATAATGGAAGTGAGGAGTGAAGGAAGGAAGGGATGGAGGGAGGAAGGAAGGAACATAGAAAGGAAGGAAGGGAGAAAGGAATAAAGGAAGGCAGGCATGAAGGAAGGAAGAGAGGGAAGAAGGAAGGAAGAGAGGGAGGAAGGCAGGGAGGAAGGAAGGAGGGAAGGAAGGAAAGGAAGGAAGGGAGGAAGGAAGGGAGGAATAAAGGGAGGAAGGAAAGGAGGGAGGAAGGGAGGAAGGAAAGGAGGGGGGAAGGAAGGAAGGGAGGGAAGGAGGGAGGAGGAATGCCCGGAGCATGGCTGGCTGTACTGCAATTGTCTTCTCCCCGTGGTCAGGATGGTGGAAAGGGCAGGGAGAGCGTTTTGACTGATCTGCAGACTTCTGAGGGAACTTCCTCTTGACGTGAGCTTGTGGCAAGGTGGGTTTGGCTTCCAGGAGCACAGGCCCTGCTGATGGCGGGTGCCCTTACACTGCCCGAGGAGCGTAACGATCTGTATTGAACATCTGTGGTTTGCTCTGCTTACTTACCAATATTTTCCGAGGAGTTATTAACAATTGAAAGATGCCGCTACATTTAAGCAAGGAACAGTGAAGGGTAAAGGAGCAACTGTATTAAAATGATGAGCTATCTATTAATCTTGATTTATTACCTTCATAATAGCCTCAGTGATACAAGAAAGGTGAACAATAACAGTGTCACCCACTTTAGTTGTTCTATTTTTTCCATCTCCTGTTACACTCAACTTAAGCAATTGCATACAGTATCATATATTCAGCTTTCCTTGGGGTTTTTGTAGTACTTCTTTCCTGGCCATTTGTTCATGTTTACTTTTCCAGTGCTATTTCTTCCCTTTTCCACGTACCGTACTAAATACCAGTTGTAATGTGGTTGCTTTAGCTTTCACAACATGTAGATTTGCGCCTGTGCATCCTCATGGCTGATGAGAAAGCAACGGTGGTAGTAACCGTAGCAATCATATTTAATGTATGTAATTTGTGGTGGAAGGGATGGTGAATAGGGGAAGCTAATAGCATTTTGAGGAGCAGCTCCTTTTATTCCATGAGTGAGTGTGCCACACTTTTTAGAGCGTGAAACCGGCAGGACCAGATTTTTGGTATTAAAAATGTGATTAAAGCAGTTGGCAGAATTTTGTGGCATAGTGAACTCCTTAACACCTTTTCATGACACCAAAAATCCTGATGCTGAGTGCCCTGCTGCATATTTAGCTGCCAGATACTGTTAGAGGGAGGTTGTCGACCCTTCCAAACACATTAAAGCTTTTGGGTGTATGTGCACAGAGGGTTATGTGTAAGCGCGTGGGTTTTGACAACTGATTTGAAAGGTCTTCAGGCTTTTTTGGGGGGTAACCTACAGAATATTGATGCTTAGCATTATAGACGTTTCCAGGAATTCCAGCAAGCTGGGAAAGATGCGAGATCCGAACTAAATAAATGCAGTCTGTTGTACGGATGTCCAAAAACAATGCTATAGGCATGAAAATGTGCGCAAGACACTGAAGTCAGGGAATCTTGATTCATGCTGCACTTGATGTTTGAATGAAGACGTTATCTGTCCAAATTATGCCTTTTTCCAGCTACTTACTTTGTGAGAACATGATCAGTCCTGCATGAAACCAATTCAGCGTCATGCGAGTCAGCCTATACCGAGGGCAGATAAGAGCTGTAGGTCGTGAGATTGACAGCCCTTTGATGAAGCATAAATTCCATAAAGGCTTTGTTAATAAGTGCTGTATCTTGTTTCCCTTTCTTGGAAAGATATTTGAACAGTTTGTCAAGACCAGGATCAGAGAAGAATACAAAGAAAAGAAAAATAAATTGTTGTTAGCCAAAGAAGAATTTAAAAAGCTCCTTGAAGAATCCAAGTTATCGCCAAGGTATGGCATTGCTTTATGAAGATTTGTTAAGATAAGCTTTCTCATTTAGTCTGTGCTTATCAGCCCCGGAACGCCCTAACACTGAATGTACTCTTCATAGAGCTTCTACATCCATTGTTACAATGCTGCGTTAACATTTCCTCCCTAATATTTTACAATATTTTGTCCTATTACTGGGAAAGGGAACAATCCATTTCTCTCTCGATTCCTATTTCTCTCTCGTTACCATTAAGAACATGTAATATTTTGCATAACACATTTATTTTATAAGCATATATATATATGCTTATATATATATAATTATAATTATAGAACACACACACATATATTAGCTATAGAAAATCAGTACCTGAATGTGAAATCTCATTCATATTAGGCATATAGGAGTAACTAGTGAAAAACTGTATTTAGGTTTGTTTTTTGATGGAAGGGGAACATAATTTAACAAAGTTAGTATTAATGCCACAGCACTAAATTAAAATAAAGCACGCAATGCAACGATTTTTTTTTTCTACATTGATTCTTAAGTGGTGGATCCGAAACTGCACAATGATGAATGCAGTGTTTAGGATAGCACTTCATCATTTGTATATTATATGGATATAAAGAGATTTATGTAGTGTAAGTCTGGTTAAATTGTTGGAACTAAGAAATTACAGTTCTTTTCTACTAAAATATGCAGGTAATTGTACAGCACTACCTGCCCAGACACACAGATATAAACAAGCCACCAGGCTCAATGGAAGTAATAATTGTAAGAAGTTTTCTACAACAAAACTGAGAATATTCTGGGCTTGTAGTGCAGCTACGCGCTGGTTCCAGCTATGATGTTTTCGGTCTGCAAGGGCAAAATCCTGCTGCCCTACAGGACAGAGAACGTTTTACCGGTTAATGTTTTTCTTGAGCTGACTGTGAGACCACAGCCTCAAAGAAACTCCGGCACCAGCAGTGGTCTCTGGCTGGGTTTTGAGACGCAATCAAATACCACGTTTCCCGTGGAAAGCGCTGACCTGACGACGAAATCCTCGGGCAAAGCTGCCTCTGCATTTCAATTGCGTTGTGCCCATCACTCAAAGTTATAATCAATTTTTTGCTGTTTTTAGAAACAACCAAACTAGCCTGGGTTCTCATCAGGTGTCGTGTGCTACTGACAGTCAAAGTGCATGTGTTTGCAATTAGACACGGGTGTGGTTTTCTGCTCTATTGTAGGCTAATTATTGAAATACTGGCCTTAAGGCATAGACTGGGGTCCCTGTCTATGGCAGGGGGGTTGGAACTGGATGATCTTTAAGGTCCTTTCCAACCTAAACCATTCTATGATTCTGTGATTAAAGCCGCAGTAGCCTGGGCTGCAGCAAATACGGTGTTAATGACGCTAAATTGTCCTGTCGGCTATCACCCAGGTTTTTCTAAACCAAAAAATGGAAGTTAATTACTGCCGACTGATGCGCGAGCCCGAAGCCCGGGCAGTTCTGGCATGGTCTTGCCTGCCCTGTCCTGGGGGTTACCCTCATGTTCCTGGCACATATTCCCCAGAGCACCCGTTTGTAGTGTCCGTGTGGAAAGTGAGATCCAGGTTGAAGAGACTGAGAGGGGATCGACAAAGCCTCAGCTTTAAAATGTCTCTCTTTTCTGCAGAACGACGTTTAAAGAATTTGCAGAGAAATATGGAAGAGATCAGCGGTTTCGCCTTGTTCAGAAGAAGAAGGACCAAGAGCATTTTTTCAATCAGTTCATACTTCTTCTTAAAAAGAGGGACAAAGAAAACAGGATACGGCTACGGAAAATGAGATAAAAACTCCTGAAACTGGCAATAAATACACACATCCGTGCTGGGACTGCAGTAAGACATTCAAGTGAAGGCGAAAGTGTTCGGGGTTCAACTTGCCTTGGCGAGGAAGAGGATATCCCTGAGAAAAACTTCCTCTGAACAGAGTTTATTGAACATATATTGAATTTGTGAAGGTTGTTCTGCAGGAATCTGAAGGATATTTTGTTCTCAAAGAATTAATGTTTCATATTGAAGCTCTTTTTTGTACAACATCCAGAGTTTGATGCATTTCTAATTGCCATGATATGTCAATCCCTTAATTGTTTTAATTATGCAAATTACTTGTAATATACACAAATTATGAATCCAATGCAGATTTGTAATTAAGCAGACGCAGATGCCATCCATAACAATCTCAAGATATTTTCGTCATTTAGGGGAATTATCTAAAGCAATCTTTTGGCAACTTTATGCATTACCATAAAGTGTTTAGAGGTACGGTGGTACGCAGGAATTCATTACCCGGTGTTCACGCGTCTCTGTCCAGTTCTCTGAGTAGTAGTAATAAGATATTAATTGTTAACCTTAGTGAAGAGTGTGAAAATCTTGGCATATGTTCCATAGGAAAACTCTAAGTTTCAGAAATTCCTTTCTACTTACCGTGAATGGTGCTCTCGGGCACACAGGCCATGGCAACACTTCTCCGTCACTGTTCCGAGAAAGAAGTTCTTTTGTAAAACCATCACCTTATTATGATTTCAGTTGTGTTACTGTATGTGAAAAGTCTGCATGAGATTTTTCTCATCATATTTGTATAAATAAATATTTAACTTTTTTAATTAATAAATATTTTAAGCCAATTTTCGGGGGGGGGGTTAAGTTTCTAAACTTTTTGAAATATTGGGTAAAATAGCGCAAGTCTCATGGTTTTTACTTGAGAGGTAGAAAACCAGAGGGAGTTCTACTGCTCATGGTTTGTGTGCAAATTCCACCAATATCCATTGGAGTTCTGAGCGTATTGAGAGCAAAATAGTCTCTCTGACTACGAAGGCAGGATATCATGGCTAGAATAATTCAGCACAGCTCTGCTGAACATCAATATGTCCCTTCCTTTATGCTACAGGAAAGACACACTCTGTGATCATAATCATTTCTCCGTTGACGTAATTTTTAAGTTATTACTCATTAGTTTTATAGATTTCTATTTGGTAGGAGTGGTTTTGATATTTTCGCCAGCTAACGGTAATTTTTCTTTAGGTGTCTGCTGGATATTTTTTATAATCAAGGAAATAAAGGGTATTTTATAACGCTTTGGAAAAAATGAACTCAGAATAAGGGTCTTTAACGTAAGACGTGTTTTAGAAAGTACGTAGAGTTTCAAACTTCTACATGAAAAAAGTCCTCATTTATTTCTCAAAGCTGCCGTCGGTGCGAGGGAGGGGACGTGTTGCTGTGGGGCAATTAGCGGGTGAAACACGCGCCGCCCCTTCTTCTCACCTCCGCCAGCGAGGGTCGGGCCGCAGGAGCACACGAGCTGGAGCGCGAGCTGGTAGATGCAATTTGGTTTCACGTGGCTTGCAAGACTTGTGGTAGCCACTGCCTTACAACTTCATTTAACAATTATTTTTTACCTCTGTGGAAGAGCCTGGTTTGCCCCCAGCCCTGCGTGGCTCAGGAGAGCTGCGTGAATTCTGTAGGGACCAATGTTCTTTGCTGGTACGTGTGGTTGGAGGAGGCAGCAGTGACCCAGAAAAACGACGTAGGTCTTTTGGTAGAGCTGAGGACAGACTTCGTGGGGGGTTTTGTAAGGTTTTGCAAATTTTCCTGTTAAAAAAAAAAAAAAAAAGGAAAAGTAAGGTGCAGAAAACCAATGAGATCTTGCTTTTATGACTGAAAGCTCTTCTGTTTCAGTGGTGTGTACCCCTTGTGCTGTTTTAAATGTATGTGCATATCTAGACCCTATACTGCCATCCCTTATTTCAAATATTAATAAAATGGGGTATTAATATTTTGGGGATTCTCCTTGATTTTAGTGTTTCCTGATGGTGTCAGAAATCCTCCTCGCAGTGTAAGTATGATGGTGAATGGATAAGCTCTTCGATTTTCTTGTGAAATTTTGTGAAACACAAGAAGCGGTCAGTGCTGGCGGTGACCCGTATTTGTTAGAAAGCCTCCAAGTTTGGCTCTGTTGTCTTGTATTTAAAATGGAGAAATATTAAAATAAACACAGCTAACCCCATGGTACAACAGAAGGAAATGTGTATATTAAGGCACATTGTAGTGTAAAATACTGATAGTCACTGAGGTAAAACACCTTCAGAGAAGCTCTTCAAGTTTGTGGAAGTGTGTGATCTCATCCCAAATAATATTTGTGTGGCCTGTTCGTTTCACAATGCCCTTAATAAATCCTAATCTCACTTCAGGTGCCTCAAATTAAAACATTCTCCTCTCTTGTTATTAATACCTGAGAAAAATTACTTTGTCGGGAGCGACTGCTTTTCATTGTTCATCAGAAGTCTCAGACGACGGCAGAGCCCATCCTCCGCGTTACCTTCTGTTCTTATAGGAAATAGCTTTGCTGAGCTGAAAGAGAAACCCGGATAACAATGAGAAACAACAAAACCATTTTAGATTTTAGCTTAAATCACAGAGCACCTTTTTAGGGATGCCGAATTTATTCCTTTTGGCTGTCAGTGGCAGCGGAGACACGGCTCCTGGTCCGTTCTGGGTTCCTCACCCGCCTGGTGAGCCCGGAGGGGGACACAGCGCGGCCGGTGCCAGGGTGGGAGCGAGCGAGACGCCCCTGTGCTCACCGGGATGTGCTGCTGCCGAAAGCAGGAGCACCTCTTCTCGGAGCCAGGGCTTAGAAACAGCTTTTGTGTATCCTGTGCATAATGCAGAAAACTCCCGAGGAGCTGAGGGCAACCATCACGTATTTATTTATATACCCTTTTCACCATGTATAAAAATCATCAGAATACACGCGTTAGCATTGCGGATATAAATGAATTGGCATGCGTGGGCTCTGAGCAGCCTGATCTGCTTGGTGATGTCCCTGCTCATTGCAGGGGGTTGGACTAGACGGCCTTTAAAGGTCTCTTCCAACCCAATATGTCAAAGAAAAACCTATCGCAGCTTTTTAGTACAGTCCAAGACGAGTAGAGCTGCTTTTTGCTTTACCACGTTATCCTTTCAATGGATATAGCATATAGCACATAATAGCCCTTAATATTCTAATGCTAATTATTATTGTTTATATATTACTTTAATAAAATATAACTATGGTGAGGAAGGCCTTGAAGGTTCCAGGTGCCTCTGGTGGGTCCAGAAGCTCAGCTCCAGGTCCATCCTTTTCTCCAGCAGACGGTCGGGGGAGGCGGTTTTTGGAGAGGTTAGAGGTGAGGTTGGTCTGCCCTCCAGGCACTGAAAAATGAGATTATCCCTGATGCCAAAGCCAGAAACCCTTCAAGAAAAAGGAGGCCTGATGCTTGGTTTGGGTGTTTCCCTGGGGAAGACCTGCGTGGTGAGACCAGGCAGGTTCAGTCTGGCACTGGGGATAACTTCACAGCTGATTTGGAAGTCGCACAAGAACGATGGGCACAAACGTGTGACCATCATACATTAACAGCGTATGGTGGGTGCCGGTAAATTGTAGCTGTATAAGTCCAGGGGAGATCAGGTACGGAGTTACACATAATTCCCCACGGCACTGCCGAGCTCCGCCTGTGTGTTGGGTGCAGCTTTGGGGGGAGCATCGCTCTGCGCACATCACTTACAGAGCGCACACACAGCTTTGAGCATCTGTGGGAAACTTTGAAAAGCGCTGGGCTCCGTTAAGTGGTCAGAGTTGGTGGTTTTTCTCAGGAAATACAGTATCTCTAAATGTGCATACGCTGCGATTCACACCTCAAAGGGCCTTACCCAAGATATAGCAAGGACAGCCAAACCGACCTGCCTCCCATCGCATCATCGGCAAGACCTCGTCGGAAATAGTTTGGGATGGAGCTCACCTCTGTGAGGTGACGCGGCAGCAGCTGGACCGGGGCAGTCAGCCCCCATCACTGCAGGACACCAAAGAGAAGAGGAGATGCTAATGTTAGAGAAGACTGAAAAAAAATCCACCGTAAAACCCTCAGACTTTGCCCAGTGCAGTTAAGTGTAGAAAGGGAGGGGATGATTCTGCACGATCACGCTAGGAGGGGGTAAGCATAGCGGGAGATGATGTTTACTAGACCTGAACAACTCCAGAAGAGCAAATCAGACTAAACTGATTTTCATGAGTTAGGCGTTAATTTCCAGGACTCTCTTTTTACCTTCTAAAATGAGGGCACTCTTCCTTTTATCTGAGTAACCAAGAGGAAAATCTAATTATTCCTGACTTAAGTAACCCGTTGAATTTTTTTCTAGATTGGTTTCAAGAGAGCAGCGCTCTGGGTGGATTGTGACTGGATTGTTCAACTTATTTTGCTACAAGTTCTGTTCATCTCCAGCTCTCCGGGAACCCCTGTGTTTCCTGATACCTGCCGCATTAAAACAAGCGCAATCCATCTTTTAACTCCTGGGCTCACCGGGATCACTGGAGGGGGATTGGTTTGTCCCAGGTCACTGCCCCGACGCAGGGGTGGAGGTTGCCGGGGGTCACACTCCCTCTTGTCTTCGCTGGACCCAACACAGTTTGTCTAACCCTGGTCTCTGTACAACAGCCTGACCACCTCCAGCCCCTCTACTGAGGGGTCTCCAACTCACACCTGGGGGATTTTTGGCAAGAAACACTCAAACTAATCACCAGCCCTTCACAGCTGTGTGCATCTCTCCGTCTGGAGGTAAGTGCTGAGCCTGATCCCGTGATGAGTCCCACCTGCCCTGTCCTGGTCCTCCCTGGAACCGCCTGGGCCAGGGCTGGGCAAGAGGAGTCTCGGGGCTTCTGGTGGGGTGTGCTGGGGCTGGGGCTCCTCAGCCTGTGAGGAGCAGTGGCGGTCTGGCTGCTGAAAGTAGAAAAAGGTCAAATTGTAGTGGATTTCTGA